GGGGGGGGGGGGGGGGGTTTGGCGTTTTCTACCACTCGCGTGACTTTGCTATCCATCTCTGAAACGCTTTATGGGAATTTCTGCCTGTTTGAATCGCTCCAAACGTGCACTTGCTGCTCAAAGGGGAACTGGTTGAAATGTTGTGGTCAAAGGTCCCAGTCAGTCCGATCTCACGGAACAGGTTTTTGTGTTTGTGACAAAATACATTTTATACCTAATAAATGAACCTTGTTCAGAGTTTCCACTCCAAAATTGTCACTTTCTCAAAAAAGAAAATCAAGTTGGAATGAATTTGACATGAATATGTTCAACTATGTGTTATGTAGATTAATTTATTGGTTAATCCATTGGTTGTTTTGTCCATAAATGTTAGAAAATGGTAGATATTGACTTTAGGAGCAATGAAAATATTTACATTTTAGAAGCTGAAATCAGATAATTCAGACTATTTTCATTTAAACACTCAAGCAGATAAATAGATGATCAAAATAGTTGCAGATGAATTTAGTAGTTGATTACTGATCGATTCATTGTTGCCGCTTTAATCAAGAGTTCATGCAATAGGTCAGGCTGATCGTCATCGCCCTCTGCTGGATCATGAGGCAAACTTTGAATTTTTAATAAATAGTAACAACCCTACCACTTGTATATTCTGAGCCACATGAGGATGTAAACTGCATCTTGACCAGATGGCGAAGGGATAACAAACCACCACGAGTGTCATTCCTCACTCACGTGTCTGCATTTGTCTTTGTGTGTGTATTTCCAGGTGGACTGGGTGCAGTGCGACGGCGGCTGCGACGAGTGGTTCCACCAGGTGTGCGTGGGCGTGTCGTGCGAAATGGCCGAGAACGAAGACTACATCTGCATGGACTGCTCACGCAAGGCCACCGGGGCGAGCGTGGGCATGACCGTGGAGGAGGTGGCGGAGGAGAGCGTGGTAGTGCTGGCGACATCAATTCAGAGTCTGCCCTCGTCTGTCGTGGCCTCGTGGTCTCACGTGTCCTCGGCCTCTCATCTAAACCCAACAACGTCACATCACCACCACCTCCTCCACCACCAGCAGCAGCAGCAGCACCTCCATCAGCAGCAGCAGCCACCAGAACCTCAGCAAGGCAGTTAGCGCTAAAACGACTAAAAAGCCCAAGGACTGAGTTTGAAGACTTTACCTCACACACAATGAGTATAACAGAAAACCGGAATCCAGGCGAGCATTACAACCCATCAACCTTTAAGACTGTACAGCTGCTGATTTAGAGAATAGCCCCGAGTGAAGAAGAGGAGGGACACACTCAGGGTGTTTCTGTGACTGCCTCGATTACAGAGCACAAGATAAAAAGACAACATGCATCTAGAAGACGGAGAAGAATCCCGCTCTGACTGTGAGACTCCAGCAACGACATTTTCTCCCTGATCTATTCGGATGTGCTGCAAAGGTTGTTAATGCACAGATGACACTTAGTCCTCCTGCAGCAGTTTTACGTCTAGAAACGTCCACCAGCTACTTCCCCCTATTCCCCCTGGAATAACAAATCACTTAATATCCAGTCAAACCAACCTCAGCTGTTGTATTCAGTGCAAACAGGTAAATAAACAAACATGTTCCCGTCGTGTTTTACTGGAAACCCTGAACCGCTCCTCTCTGTCCTCTGCCTGGCCCTTCAGATGGTTACTTCTCAATATGTAGGATGTCAGACTAGGAAAAAAACAAATGGTTGTAATGTAGTGGAATTATTTATAATGTACATAGCTTTTAAGCAATTAAACAAATGGATTGTGGCTTTTTTGTTTTCTCACCTTTAATAAACTATTCCTAGTCAAAATATTGAAAACTGTGTTGTTGTTGTTGTTGTTGTACTTTTTTGCTTTAATTAGCTTTTTTGCCATTATTTACTGTGTTTTTACTACTATAAACACACATTCATATGTATCAGATTCATGAATTATTTCCTGGGAAAAACGAAGAACGCCCTATTTAACAATGTTGAAGAAAGTGACAAAGAAAATCCTGGATTTGAAAAATGTCATAGTTTCGTCCCTCACCCATACTGCATCTTCCCATCAATTTTTGTGGAAATCTGTTCTGTTGTTTTTATGTGTTATTGTTCAGACACAAACAAATGGACCGAGGTGAAAGCATCCCAACTTTTTATTGATTGACCGATAACTTCGACCAATATCAGCCTTTCACAGACATACCGGTTTCAGTGTTTATGTTTGCCGGTCTGAAAACTTAAATCTTAAGAATAAACGCATTGAACTCAGGAATCATGCTCTGGTACTCAGCTGTAACTCTTGGTCGTGTTATTGAAAAGGTTGATTGATTTTCAAGTTTTGAGTTTAAGCTTCACATTCCCTGTGTTACTCATTAGCTCCATTAGAGGAAGGATGTGGTTTCCTGTTGTGGAGTTCTGCTATGAGTACACGCAAGTTAAATTTACATTTACATTTACAAATTAAACGTGTTTTCTTTTTAGTTTTTTACACAAACTACTTTCGTTTGTCAATAGATTTGTCTCGTGTTTAAACTCACCATCCATTGTGTGATTTTCTTTTCTTCATTTTGAGTCTTTAAAGATCAGAGGAATTATTTTGTCAAATTTAGAAACATGGATATTTGCTGAAAATAGAGTGGAGGGGAGGTGTGTGTCGAGGGGGGGGGCTGGGTTGTCTGTGTGTGTGTGTGTGTGTGTGTGTGTGTGTGTGTGTGTGTGTGTGTGTGTGTGTGTGTGTGTGTGCACTCATCTCAACTCCTAACCCAGCTGAGTCAAATCCGGTGCGAACTGACCTCAACTGCTTCAGCCTCCATTTTAGTGGCTCCGACCCTGGAGATAGAGCCGGGGGGGTGACGAGGCATCACATGGCATCAAGAAAACGAGCTGAGATAATACATAATCGATTGCATAACTTCATCTTAGTCATTTAATGCAATTATATCTGTGCCACCTGCTGTTTGTGGTGTTGGCTGAGTGGAATTCATGACTGTAGCATCACATGATGGAGACGAGTTACAGTTTATCCTTCCACAGGGATGGAAGATTTGTCTCTTAAATTCCCCATAGATTCCGATAATGATGTCACAACAAGTCATGGAAGTGTGGTCTATCTTTACAGGAGGGAAATACATGGAATCTAAAATCTAAACCTTACACGATGACCTTATCAGTGTCTTTAGCACAGTTTTGAGTTCCAATGTCATCTGATGTGATTCTTTAGCCATTTCCCCTAATTTAAACCACACAGTGATGGCAGATGATAGACTTTGCTCTGAAGGGGGCAGACACAGGGAGGCAAGGTGGAGGCTGGGCCTAAGTTTAGCATTGCGAACCTCCGCCCCTCTCTCCGTTCGTGTTAAATACTAAAACTCCAGCATTTTTGACAGATCAAATCTCCCGAGACTGCAGCTCAGGTCTTGAAACGAGAGTTCTGCACGGCAGCGATGAAGGGTGAGTGACGCACGTCAACTTTTCTCTTAGAAACAGGTTTGACTGTTTTCAGTGATTTAATTATTTCTTGTAATAATTTGATTACTCCATTTGTTTGATTTAACGCTCAAGGATTGCATTGATCTTGCAGTAGTTCATAATGTATGCAAAGGACAGACTTTGTCTCTTTGTGTTGTGTTTTTCTCATTAATGACTTCCTTTGCATTCACATATTTAGTTGCCTTCTCTGCAGCTGCCAGTGTTTGGTGCATGACTGAGAACAAAGAGATCAGCTCTTATTCAGGCAAAATCCTGTTGAGACATTTCCCCCTCCTCTCTGTTTGATTATGCAGGAGACGTTGCCAAAGCAGGCGTCCCCAATGGCCAAGCCAAGGACCTGGTGCCCCAGTCGGAGGAGAAGATGGAGGAGCGAGGCCAGTGGAGCAACAAGGTGGAGTTCATCCTGTCGGTCGCCGGTTCCATCATCGGCCTTGGGAACATGTGGCGATTCCCCTACCTCTGCTACAAGAATGGAGGAGGTAAGAGTGGGATGAAGGAACTCGAGTACTTCATTAACCAAAGTGATTTTTCCTTTACCGCTTTATTTTGGACGTGCTTGCGTGGCTGCTAAATTGGACACCCTCTCTCTCCCCCTCTCTCCATGGGGTGGCAGGGGTCAGGGGTCAGGGGTCAGGGCTGAATAGGGTCAGACAGCTGTTGCTCCTTGTTCGCTGCAGCTGTCCCCGTGGAGAGGCAGAAATCTGAGCACAGCAAACATCCTTGGCCGCCCGACGGGACGTCAGCACACGAGCTGAAAGGGAGATGAGAGAGGGATTCAGGCCAAAATTTAATTATACTATTAGAGAAAAGAGCGCTAATAAAACATATTTATTTAGTTCTTTCATGAAGTTATTAAAACTTCTGCCTCAGTACTTGATCATGCATGGTTCATAGATATGATATAATAAAAAAAGGAATAACTTTATTTATAGCGCACTTTTCAACACAAATATTCAGGAATATGTCTTCCAAAAGGAGCCTTTGTGAAAAACATAAAACTGGTGTGATCTGATATATTTAATATCTCGGCTGAGTTTTGTACAGACTGCAGTCATTTCAGGTTTAGACCAGAGACAAGGCTTTTGCAGTAATTAAGTTGTGAGATAATAAAAGCATGTTTATAGTTTGTATTTGTGTGTTTGTGTTTTAGATTTGTTCAAACCAAATTTGACAGAACAATTTTCAAGCAAAGTAAAAAATTGAAAAAGCAGAATAAAAGATTCAAAGAGGTAAAAGAAACAGAACGGATGAATCTGTTTGACAATTTAAAAAGAAGTTGACCATATGACCTGAAGGATACTCCAGGGGACTCATCATTGGCTTTTAGTGTAAATTCAAGATGTCCATGGTTTGTGTTCATATTTCATCTCTGACTCATCATCCTCATCGGGGCTCCTCTAGAATTTCTGATTGCTCTGACTTCCCTCATGTGGATTCGAAGCTCTTAATATTTCTGAGTATGTGTAATGTTGTACTTCATGCTTCAGTCAGCTTGAACCCTGAATCCTTTGCTCATTCTCACCTCAGGTGCATTCCTCATCCCCTACATGATCTTCCTGTTCACCTGTGGCGTCCCCGTCTTCTTCCTGGAGACGGCACTGGGCCAGTACACCAGCCAGGGAGGCATAACCTGCTGGAGGAAGATCAGTCCCTTGTTTGAAGGTAAGAAGGACACGTGTCCACTTCAGTCACACGTTTGTTAGTGAAGGAATCTCCTGGATGCACACTTAGAGGCACAAGGGGCCAGGGTGCCTGGAGTAAGCTAATTGTTAACAATCACATTACCACAAACAGATAGATAACAACTACAAAGAGACAAAATATATATAAAGGACTCAAATTACCTCAAGAGATACAAAACAATCACAAAGAGACTAAAAATGTCAACATAGACAATAAGCAACCGCAAAGAGAAACAAGACAACCACAGAAACAACAAACCGTCACAAAGAGACAAAAAAACACACTAAAAGGCACAAAATGACCACAAAATACTGACTAAGAGATTAAAATGACCGTATCTTTGCAGTCTGGGGTTTGATTTATGTAACATTGGCTGATTTTCACATTTCCCCTTTGTTATAATGAATTATGGTATGCTCTATATGTGAACTGTGAACTGTATGTACTCCCTGCAGGTCTGGGCTATGGCACCCAGGTGATAGTGACTCTGCTGAACTTCTACTACATCATCGTTCTCGCCTGGGGCATTTTCTACCTGTCCTTCTGCTTCTCCTGGGACCTGGCCTGGTCGTCCTGCAACAACACATGGAACACAGGTAACACGTGTGCGTCAAAACACGACACGGGATCCTCCCAATGTCTGTGACACATTTCATAATATTTTGCCTTTTTTTTCTTTTTTTCCCTGTTAGAAAACTGTATGGAGTTTCATAAGAGAAACACGTCATCGAACCTCATCAACCAGAACACCACTTCTCCTGTATTAGAGTTCTGGGAGTGAGTTTTCAGACTAACCTAACCTCTACCTAACAATGTATTA